GCAAGCTGAGTATCAGAGAAGGAAGCAACAAGAAGATGATGATTTCTGGGCATCAGCCTGTGCTAGTGGGGCTGTTTCCTAGAATCATTTTGAAGGAGCCTTCAAAAGAGGAATTCACATCTCTGTTTCTCCTTCTTCTTAGAGACGAGCAATCTTTTTTATAGTGCTGTGCAACAAGAGAAAATAGATAAACCCAGCGCTTTGAAGTGACTCAGGAGATGTTAGTACGGATATAAAAAGCTTACTACCTTAGAGGCTGTGGCAACCTAATCCATCCGTGCCAGAGGAGAAGCAGACTTTTTATAGGCCCCGGGACAAGGGTTAAGTTTATCTGCTTACAAGGAATCTCAATTTGATGACTCACTTGCTAGATAAAATTTCTTATTCATGCAGAGAATTACAGATTTGGTTGGTGTAGGGTTCCTCTGCAGAGTACACGCTGACCTTACGTGAAAAGGCGTGTTTTACTTTGAATTACAGCTTTGAGAACATGCAGAAACTGCAGATGGAGGAAGAAAGTGTATCTAGAGAACGTCTGTTAAGAATAATGCACATGTAATAGAACATCCTGAAACTGCTTAGTAGATTATAAAATTTATCTTTCTTATTCTATATATCTATTAGCCAGACAGACTAACATGGTGCATTACCTATGTCTGTAATTATCATTGTCCACAGTGATAATAGCATCTACATTTCTAAGAAATAATATGCTCATGACTGAAAAACTAGAATGATGTTACTGCTCATTACAGGGCTGTACATGTCAGGTCAATGTATTTTTAGTTGGTTAATTAGGTAGTCAAGAGAAGATACATGTTTTTCTCTTCGTGTTAGGTGATAAGCCTAGGTATCTCAGGAAGTTCTGTTTAAATCAAAGGAAAAACTGGAATCCTTTAATATTCACTTTCTACCCTTCTACTCTCTGAGTCATTGGAAGTAGAAAATATCTTTGTATTTCTTTCCATGACCCTCTGCTTTCCCAGTAGCATTTCTACTTAGCATTCCATGGTCAACATACTATTCTGTAACAGCAAATGGCATAGTAAAACACAGATGCACAGAGTAGAAATAAGATGATAATAGTTTCTCTCCTGATCTACCATGTACCTTCTCCTCTGAAGATACATATGATTGTACATAATTCCAATTACGAACAGCTAGATTAAGATACCGTGAAATATTGGGAAATAGTAATATCTGAATCAAATTACATCAATTACATTTTAATTCTGTTTCTTCATCAATTCCTACTAGAGATTTTAGATGCCTATAAAATTGACCATAAAGATTCTGATTTTTTTAAAGTATCCATATAAATAAAAGAAATTATTTCAGAGAGGAAATTATTATTGTACAATAATTTTATCTCAGATTACAGATTTACTATGATGCTGATGGATATGGAATACATTTAGCAAAGTAACAAGTAGAATTGCTTATAACTTGAAGGCAAACCTGAGGATGATGAGATTGTGTACCACATATTAGCTGAAGTAAACCTACTACATTGCAAGAAATAAACTTTGAGTAATTAATGTCACTGCAGTAGCATGTTTAACATTCCCATTTGGCATTATAAAATGGTCCAGTGCATATCTAGAAACCAGAGTGTTAATGACAAAGTGCAAAATTTGCAATCAGAATGCTCTCTATTCTCACAGAAGGTGGAGAGGGGATAATTAACATAAACTATTTATATTGCACCAGATTGCTAAACCTAAGGATTGCACTACAACAAGCCTGACAGCCACTTATTATAACTGGTCAATAAAAAATGAAGAGAGTTTTATACCACTAAACTTTGGCAAAATGATACACCAAAAGTACTGCAAATTGCTGATTCTAATTTATGCAGGCATGGAAACCAAGAGTTTCATGTATCATTTTAGACAAGAATATGCAACTAAGACTTATTTTATGGCTGAAGCTAAGCAAGAAATATTGTTGGTTGAAAAAAAATCATGATAATGCCAGATAGGATAGTTGCTATTAAAAAATAATCAGAAACACAGAAGTACTAATCTTCTAGGACCAAAGCATCTTTTTACCAAAGCCAATTTGTTTCCAAAGAGATTTGGAAAATTTTTTTGTCTTTTCCCAGCTTAGTGGTAGTGGGACTGACTGAAGAAAGAGGATATGGATTCTGGGTCTTCATAACCCAGTTTCCACAGAAGTGGGAAAAGTGGCTGTTTAGTGTCCTTTCCAACAGTCAACTGTCGGAATAGGGCATCCAATATGTTAGAAAATTTTTAGCCAGAGTAAAAAATACCTGGTAGTTTTTGAGTAGGATTCCAAGAATACATTTTTTAATTTTTTCATTTGAATACCAAGGAATAATTTAGCTTCTGTGGGCAAAATTTATATAATACAAATTATAATATGCTTTTAAAGTCTATTTCCAAATAGTCGATTGTTTCTGAATATGATATAAATCATACTTTTATTTTTCACTTTACACTAAATACCTACTGTGTTAGAGATGCTATGCTAGGTATTATGAGCATTCTAAACCACATAAAATGTATCTTTCCATTTCACATATCCCCTATAATTCAAAAGGGAATAGTTGAATTTCTTATCCCTAGGAATATTGTCATATCTTGACACTGTGAGAGGTTTAGACCATAATTATCTCCAGTAGATTTTACAATATCCATGCTATTTATTTATGCAGACCTCGTTTTATGTAATTTTACTCATAAATGTTTTCCTTACTCTTCTTAAAGAATTTAATTTTCAGCAGAAGTTAGTTGAATAAAATCATGTAAAAAAATCCAGGAGGTGTGTTTTATTTATCCTGTTCAACTCTCCTTATTACTTTCTTCCTGATATAGAGAAATGTAAATGCATATACATTTATTCTTACTATCCCTTGACAAATTTACATGGAGAGGAAAAATAGCACATTTTCATATTTTTATAGATGTAGTACTGTGTTTTTTGTTTATTTGGAAAAAATGTCCCATATCCAGGGATCTCATTGATTTGGCTTGAGAACCCATGGTCCAGTTCATCAAGGGGATATTAGGTCTCAAGATAGCATTGTGAGAAAAGACAGCACTATTATTATAACCAGGCTTGAAATGTCTAACTGAAAGATTCAAACCTTGCCCAGGGTAAATCAAAAAAGCATCTCATTATTCTGGGAGTGAACGCAGTCATTGTCCATTACACTCTTTTGACTGGAGTACCTGAAATTAAAGTGCTTTCAGGGATTCTTCAAAGCAACCTGAGGCTAAACAAAGAAAAACACATCGATGTCTAAACAGTGTGTGCAGTAAGAGTTCTAAGGAAGGAGAAATGTCACAGCAGTCATCAGAGTTACGTTGTTTGGGATTAACATATGAAGAATCTATAATCTCTAGAAAAGAAATTTGACTTTTGGCCTATAGGCAATGGTAATCCATTAAAGACTTTTGAACAGAAAATCATAAGATAATGTGGGAAAATAATGTCATGGTTGTATGCAAGCTGAATCAAAGGATGGAAATCCTAATGACAGTAATAAAAGAACCAATTACAATGTTCTTTGAAGAATAACACTTTAGTCATTTTTCTCCATCATGAATTTGAGAGAGGAACAGGGTGTTAGAAATTAGCCTTAAAGTATATACTCGGTGATGGTTGGTTTTCTTTTGTGCCAAAATTGAAGCCTCAAAACTGTAACTGTTCAGCTAACAAATATCTATTATATTAATATATGTGCCAGCCACTCTGCTACGTATTACAGACTGAGAACTACAATCTGAACGAGACCTAGTTTCTGGCTCTAAGAATATACTGTCTTTTGGGTGAACGCCCTTATAATCAGATCGCCCTGGTACGTTGTCAATAGTAGTACAGTAGAAGTCTGATAGGATGGGTGAAAAGCCCATTGGAAATAGACCTTTTCCACCAGTGGAGTGTTCAAAGACTTTCTCCTAGTGGAGGTGCTGACTTGAGTGAGCCTCAAAATATTATGTGGGCTCAGCAGAATAAGGGAAATGTTTATTTTGAGTATTCAGAGTTAAAGGTAAAACTCTTAGGTCCAGGATGTCAAAGAGTAGACAATATTGAGAGAAAGGAGTAATCACACATACACACTTGGTTAGTACAATATTTATTTTTGTTTCCTTTAACAAGCTAGAAGAGAATAAATCAATGGGGACACCGGCCCCCACCACCTTGCCACCCACACACAACCTTACTGGGATTGGTCAGTCTTGCCTGGCTGCTTCCACCACTGGTTCCCATCCAGTGTGTCAGGGGCCTCTGCCAGCAAGACTTTCTTCTTTTACTTTCACAAAGACCTTGGAGTCCCCTCAGCTGAGACATCCAGTGGCATCAATGCTAGAGGGTTAATGAGGCTATAATCTCCCTGGGCTTTTAGGCTGAAACTTTTTACCAGGGCATTATGGTTTGTAGCAAACAGGTGTCTTAACATAGATCCTGATCATTGTTTCTCAAATGCAAAGAAACTTATATATATTGCTCACTTTTCAGGTATAATCATGTCCCTCCTCTTCCTTTTTTTTTTTTTTTTTTTTACTTTTTTCTAAAATAGCATGTTTGAAAAAAAAAGTTTTATATAAATATATGCTATGAACTGAAGGTTTTTATTTCCTCCTCAAAGCCCCCAAATTCATATGTTGAAATTCTACCCCTCAATGTGGTGTTATTAGAAAGTGGGGCCTTTGGAAGGTAATTAGGTTATGGGGATGGAGCTCTCATGAATGGGATTAGCCCTTATAAAAAGAAAAAGAATTTTCTTTCTCTCTCTCTGTCCTCCCCCATGTGAGTGTACAAGGAGTAGATGGCCATCTGCAAACCAGGAAGAAGGTCCTCAGCAGAAATGAATCTGCTGACCCCTTGATCTTGGACTTCCCAACCTCCAGTACTGTGAGAAATAAATGTTGTTTAAGCTACCTAGTCTATAGTAATTTGTCAGAGCAGACAACATGCCTATGATATTTCTTAATAACAATAGGTTAACAGTTTGACAAAGTAGGATGAACACACTCTGTCCAAACAAGTTCATTTTTTTTTAGATGGTAATGGTAGTAGCCATCCTTTGGAAATACATTAATGACACCCTTTACAAAGGAACAAGGGCAAGGTGGTGGTCCAAGCACTAAGGTTTGAAATCTTGTGTTTTCTGAGAATGGAGTTCCATCCTCCCTTGGTATCGGTGGGGGATTGGTTCCAGGACCTCCCGTGAATACCAAACTCTGCGGGTACAGTAGGTAAGAAGGCCATGCAAAAGGCCATTGGGTTTAACCACGTGAAAATTATGTGCCTGAATTAAGGCCGCAGTAGGGAGGATGGAGTAAGAATTATTCGAGAAAAATCCTGAATTTTCTTGGACTTCTTATCTGTGAATGGAAACCTCATAGTTTTGCCATTGCAAGAGGCATGATTTCTTCCTCACCCAAATAGGATTACATTTAAACTGAGCCTTACATGAAAATGTAGCCTGGTTGAAATTGAAACAGAATTCCTGTAGTAGTATTTTCACAGCCTGCTGGGATCCAACAAGGCATATCCTGTGTTTGTCAGTGTAGCTTATCTCAGTACCATAAAATCTGAGGTCTTTAATTTCTTTGGTTCCTCATTGTACTGCCTTCACATCAATCACTAGAATTATTTCATACGCTTATTATAGCATGTGTTGATATTGCTGTTTTTGTTGTTTTCTTCTATCTTGACTCCACTCTTTCCTCCATGTTATCTTGACTCCACTCTTTCCTCCATGTTCTGCATTGGCTTTACCATCTTTGAATTTTAGGATAAAACAGTTGGACCAGAGAATTTCATTATTCTATTGAGGCCTCACTGTAGTATAGTTGCAGATCTTCAAAAGTTAAAGGGAGCTTGTCACGCATAATGTCTATTTTTTTATACCCTAGTATATAATTTTGTTAAGTTGGCTGTGCTAATGCTAGTTATAACTCTCAATCAGTAGGGAAAACACACATCTTGGTTTACATGAGAAGGTCCAAGTTTATGCCTGTATTCATGCTGTAATTGTTTATAATATCCCTTTTTACTTCCCAAAATGTCTTAGTTTGTGCATTAAATTGTGTGATCACCCTATCTATTAGGGAGAGCCACAAAGAAACTGTCCATTTATGCATCCCCAGAATTCAATTTATGGAAAATAAATGTAATTAAAATGTGCTGACAGACACTGTCCCTGCTGTAGACTTTATGCAGCCTGTCTCCAAGTCTTTTTAAGGACAAATGGAGAAAAACCTGTTATCTGTTTACTTGAAGATTTTTGCTGCTGTACTGTAATAGAAAAATGAAATTGCTTCTCCTTTTTGGTGTTGTATATCCTTTAGCCAGTCTTGTCATGATTCTGTTAAGGTAAAAAATGCAAAGCTAAGGTTTTCATTTATTTTCTGAACAAAATGGGCACAATTATTATTTAACTTATTACAGTAGAAACCAGAGAGCCATATATGGACTATAAGTAGTGAAAGGAATCTTGAAAAATACCTTGGTGAATTTAGTCTATCCCTTACCTTGATAGATGAGGAGCCCTGAGTCACAAGGAGGCCATGTAACTTCTACATGTTTACACAGTGATTTAAACCGTAGGCAATACTGTAGTCAGATCTCCAATGTATTAATCCAGGGTTTCAAGGTTCTTTTTGCTAGATATGATTGCATGTGAAAAGCCAAAGGCAACCCTTACTCCCACCCCATTTTCCATTGCTAACAAGAAAGATCTCTGTAAAATATCCTGACTTGAGGGCAAGAAATATGCAGAAATCAATCAGAATTTGATTTTATACAAATAACATATTAAAAATATGGCATAATAAGTCTGTGCTTAGTACTTGTATGTGTGCACAAGTATATTATTTTTAGTTTTTTATTTGATGATAATTGTATATGTTTATGGGGTAGAAAGCAGGTATACATTGTGGATTGATTAAATCAGGTTAATTATCATGCCCATCACCCCAAATATTTGTCATCACTTTGTGGTAAGAATATTTTAAAATCCTGTCCTTTATCTATTTCGAAATATACATTCTTAGCTGTAGTTGTTTTTAATAACTTTGCCTTTTGATGTTTACACTAAAGATATATTTGATTTACCCACTGCCATTACAATATTAGAGCATTTTGGATTTGACAGCCTACTTACTGTTTTACTTTTTGTTAATGTTTTCTTTTATATGTTTTTGTTTTACTAATTAGCGACCTCTTCCTTCTGCTTAAAGAACTCCCTTTAGCATTATAAGGCAAGTCTGGTGGTGATAAACTCTGTTTTTGTTTGAGAAAGTCTTTACAACTTCCTCATTTTTAGAAGACAAGATTGCTTGCTGTGGTATTCTTTGTTGGTGGAGCTTTTTTTGTTTTGTTTGTTTTTCTTTCAGGATTTTGAATATATCATCCAACTCCCTTCTGGCCGGTAACAGTTCAGTTGAGAAATCGCTGATAATCCTACGTAGTCTCCTTCATATGTGACAATTCATTTTTCCCTTGCTGCTTTTAATGCTCTCTCTTTGTCTTTAACGTTTGACAATTGACGATGTGTCTTGGTGTGAGTCTTTTGGGATTCATGTGATTTGGTTTCTTTGGGACTTCCTGGATCTGGCTTTCTATTTCCTTCCTCAGGCTCAGGAAGTTTTCTGCTGTTACGTCTCTGGATATGTTTTCTGTCCCTTTTTCAATTTTCTCCATTGCGTACACTGGTAATGAGTAACTTGTTACACGTGATGGTGTCCCATAAATCTCTTAAGCTATCTTTACTCTTTTTCATTTGTGAGATATTGATGATGGATCAAGTAATATAAGGATTGTGAATTGACCACTGTGTTTTGCAATGTAGATGCCATGAATAATCATGTTTAACGAGTGATAAGGGCTAGGAAACTTATCTCTTGTCTGTCTTTCTACACTGATCACTTGCTGTCTTCTAACTCTCGCCTTGCCTCCTTACAGTTAATTCTTAACACACTCAGCATGGTGACTTTTTAAAATATATAGATCATATCTCTCCTCTACTCAAAATGGCTCCTCATTTAATCCCAATAGAAGGCAAGGGCTTTATAATGAATGACTTAACAAAGCTCTATATAAATCTAACTCATATTTTATTTTGATTTTTTCCCTACTCCTCCCACTTAATCTCTCATTTTGTTCTAGACACTAACCTCCTGAAACTCTCTGACATGGTCTTGGGTTATGTAACTTCTTCATGGCTTTCCTATAGTCTGTTTTCTAAAAGATCACCTCAACACTCACCGTTGCCCCAATTTTCCATATATGTAGCTAATTCCTTCAAGCTCTTTTGGGTCTTTGCTGCTGCTCTATTAATTTTTCAATGTAGACTACTCTAGCTATCCTCTAAAGTTGAAGCAGCCTCCCAACCAGCATTTTTGATCTCCCTTTCTCTACTCATTATTTTATTTTTTATCAAACTTATATTATCCTCCATGTGAATATCAGCTCCATGAAGGCTGGGATTTTCACCTTCTTTACTTGATATATTGTAAGTGTTTAGAATATTTCCTAGCACATGGTAAATGATCAATTGTTGAGTTTTTATTATTTGTCATTCCCTTGTAAATGAAGCTTATAAATTAATCAAATATCTATCTGGGGTAATACATGTGACACGGTAACCTTTTTCAAAAACTACTAACTCTTGGAATCCTTGCCAAGTAAGGAAATACTATTTTGTAGGAGTTAGATATTAACTCAGCCTAATAATTAGTTTTTTGCCTCTCTAATTATTTAGTCAGTTCTTCCTGAGTTTGTACATGTTCAGGGAAGCTCAGTAAATACCTGTTGTCTACTCTTGTTGTAAACTCTGTGCTAGTGGCTGTGATTCGTAGGCCTCCTCCAGAAGGAGAGAGACAAGTATGCCGGTAGTCATAACAAAGTATGGCTGGGTGATATTAGAAATATATGCACACAGGAATTTGGCTTCACTTAGAAAAGGCACCCCTGCAGTCTACAGATTGTCTATTTTAGATTGAATATCCTGTCCCAGTGGCATTATTGTCTTAAAAGACATTAATCTAGCTTGGTAAAACCTATGTAAAAATGCAGGGGTAGTATATGTCCTTTTTCTTGTATCTGTGAAGATCAGCTGTCCTAGTCACAGCCAGAACTAGAGAACTGCAAAAATCGTATGATGCCAATTCCTCCCCCACCCCACCTGCTGCTTGAATTGATCCTCTAATGTGTTTAATCAGTCTTGCTAAATACTTCCTGTAGGGAAAATGAGTAGTGATGAGAAGTAATCGTGCTCCTACTTTCTTCTGAAAAATCCAGTGATTGACTTCCAGGTATTGCTTATTCATTGCGTGAATGATGTCCCATTGTAGAAGAACGGGATTAAATCTCAGTCTTAAAGGTTATGGGATCCCTCAAGGTTTAGAGCCTAGTAATGAAAAACTGAGAACCTAAAAAAGGGATTCCAGAATCTGCATAGTGAATAAACTTTTGTCAGGCCTTGCTTCTGATGTGAATTTAGGATTATATGGATAGGAATATGGTCTGGGCTTTTTACTGGTGCCTTAAAACTTTTTCTATATTTCGTACACTTCTTCTGTTGTATTTATCTTTAGTTTCAAGCAAATTCTCATTAGTTCTTTTTAGGTCATATGTAATCTCTGGGCCTTTCCCAAATGGCCTGGAGTGTCCCTCTTAATAAATATCTCCTAAACATGAATAGAAGCCATTTACCTAACTTGATTTCCCAAACAGAATCCATTTCTTTGACAAGTCTAAGTCTAATTGCTTATCATTAATAAATTACCTCTTTCCTCTGAAGATTGACAGATGTCCCTGGCTTTGCCCATGTATTCAGAGTACATGCTTTCTAGGATGTTTGGTCTTCTGGAGCCCCAAACCTAATAATTCTTGGAGTTCTAGAAGGATCTCCAAGGAGAAGAATAGGTCCTTAGAGATGTGTGGTTTTCCTGTCTTAAAGTATTTTAGGTTTGGCATGAACTCTTTTATCCAAAGTAAAAATTCCCATTCTCACTATACTCAGCCAAGGTCAGAAATGGGAAACTCATTTCAAACTTCTTGGTTTTTCTCTGTAATTTACTTTTAGTGTTTTTATGGAACCCCATTCTGATTTACATATTCTCACAGTATAGCAGTGAATTTATTTCTTCTTTAGGCTAGTGAGTCTTTTTTTTCAATGTCTTCGTTTATTTGTTCATCAAACTCTTGAGCACTTGGTTTGCGAGGCACTATGCAAAAATACCAGGCTATAACCACTGAACCAGAGAAACACAGCCTTTGGCTTCATGGATCTTATAGCACTTATTATTCCTATAGGTTCTATCAGTGCTTGGGTACCAGGTTATTTTTCTAAAATTATGCCATCTTCATGGACTATATATTATCTAAGCTTTTTAAAAATCAAAGGTAACTTTTAAAACCTAAAAACCAAACGCTCCCTATTTTTAAACAATTTCTATTTTATAACAGATAGAATGAATGTTACTGTCAGTTTTTACTGTATGTAAGGTTTTCTTATAATATTTTAATTAAGTTCTTCCATCCTTCCTCTTTTATAATTGATGTATCGGCTTTGACTATGCTGATAATTATAAATCAGAGAAGACTTCCACGTGAAAGGAACACATAAGTGGAGTTTTAAAGGAAGAGTTGGCTAGTTTTCTGGGTGAATAGGCAAATGGAAAAAACTCAGAATATGTACTCAAAAGAGTTGGTCTTGACACCTGGCCTTGCTGCTGCCCAGCTGTGTGTCATTGAACAAGTAACTTAATGTCTTTATCTGAAGAACAGGAATGATGCATTTTCTTTATTGCTCATCAAATAAACTACAGTATTGAAAGCTCTATTTAGGTGTTTGATGCTATTTAATTACTTAAAATTCTTTAAATATGTGACCCCCGGTTTTACCTTTGCCTTGCTTAGGTTGACGTGATCGTGACGCTCGGGGGCCTCGCGGGGCGCTTTGACCAGATTATGGCATCTGTGAACACCCTGTTCCAAGCTACTCGCATCACTCCTTCGCCAATTATAATGATCCAAGAGGGATCTCTCATCTACCTGCTCCAACCAGTAAGTGAAAAGTAAATACAACGTGAGCACTTCACTTCTCAAAACCTCTAACCTTTGAGTAGACTCAAAGAAAACACTCCCTGCTTGTGTGTTTGGTCTCTGAATGAGGCTGGCCAGGTGTGCTTGCTGGGGGCTACTTTAGTTTTCTGCCCCAGGTCACTAACCAGCAAACATGTGGGCGAGAAGCCCCAAAGTTTTCATTTTCTTGTGCCCAGGAAAAAAGAGAAAACCTTGTAACTTTGAATTAAATTGACTTAGAATTAAGTTTAGTGCTTTTGCATTTTGAGCAGCTGATTGTGAATGGCACTTGAGAGAAACCTCAACAGGGGAAACAAAAGGCTTGCAAATATTTCTAATGAAAATCTCATATATTTTGAGTGTCGTCGTTATAATTGGAAACTGGATTTGATTTTGTGAAGCACTTTAAAAAATCTTTAGCTTTGACTATTCATAAGTTGTCTGATTATTAATTTCACTGCCTCAGAATAAATTGCTAGTGATAATGTCATTTATTTCCAATGACAAATATTGAGGAAATTTTCTATCAATGTAGTACATTGAACAGAATGCTTAATAAATAAATTTTATAAGATTGGTGGATTTCAGTTTAAAAAATAATTATTTGGTAACATTTTTTTTAAGACAGTAGGCAATTGTTTTACTTTTTGTCTCTCGGTGTAGTGTGCTACTACTTACAGTTTTGCTTTTACCCTGTCTGATGTCCACTATCTGTGGCATGTCATTACTAAAAATTATTGTTTGGTTAATATGGCAAATTTCATGACTGCTTACCATTGTTGAGCCAGTTTTGCATTTTTTTCCTGGCTCTTTGCATTTTCTGGCCTTGTTTATTCCACTTGTACAAGAGGAGCAGAAGAATTCAGATTTCAAAGTCCATGCTATTCATTTATTTGGTCATCAAACAGCTATGCAGTGCCTGCTCCCTATCTCTTGCACTGCTCTCCAGTTTATGCCCAATGAAGGAGACATTTATAAAAAATGTAATCGCAATGCAATGTTAAAAGATTAGTGCCTAAAGATGACGAAAGAATAAATAATCTAAGTGTTATAGGGAAAGTCTCTGCAGAGGCACTCACATGTTATTCACTCAATTAATTCAACAACTATTTACTGAGTACCTGCTGTATGCCAGACTCTTTTCTATGGATACATCAGTAAAAAAAGAAAGAGAGAGAAAGAGAGAGAGAGAAAGAGAGACAAAAACACTTGCCTTCATGAAACATGTCTCCCATTGAACTTACATTCCGACAAAATCTTCAAGGACAAGTAGATGTTTGTTATTGGAGATGATGGGAAAATCATTCAAGCCAGTAGGAGCCAGTAAAGAAACATAGAGGTGCAGGATGTATCATAGAATCGTCAGGGAGTTCTGTGCAGCTAAAATATAGAATATAGTATAGAAAAATGTTAGAAGACAAGAACTTCCCAAGACCTATGGCAAAAGAGTTCACACTCCTTTGTGTGGAATTTAAGGCTCTTCACAATCAGTATTGCAATTAGTTTTCTAGTCTTAAAAGATTTCAGTTAGTGGTGTGACATGCATGGATATGCTTCTTAGATTTCTTATTTGTTAAACAACAATTTCTGAAGTTTTAAAACTTTCTACCATCGTGAAGCATTAAGCTTTGTTATATTGTATTGAATTGATGGTATGTTAACTAAAGCTGTCGTAACTGTCCCTGTGTAGATAATATGTTTAATAGATTATTAGTTAAAGAGGTAGTGCAGTCATTTTTTTTAAAAGTGTAATTGTAAGATTATCTAATAGAAAAATCCACATCTAACAAAATGACTTTTGCTCTTAAGATCTTTTCATTGTTTTTGGTATCCTGCATCTTCACTGTAATTGGTATAATTGTGAACTTTCCAGAATTCGTTCAGCTTGGGATTCATTGGATTTCCTCCATCCCATGCATTACTATCTGTCATCAGTTCTGGAAAACTTCCAATCATTATGATGTCAAATATTGCCCTTAGCACTTTCTCCTTTCTTCTGCACCTCCAATTAAATGCATATACGATCCACTATTTGTATCATACATATCTCAGAACTTTTCTCTCGTATTTTCTATGTCTCAGTCACTCTGGGCTGTATTCTGAAGTGCTTTATCACCTCTGTACTCTACTTCCCTGTCCCACTTCAGCTGTGTCTGTTCTGCCACCCACTGCGTTTTTAATTGCTGCCACAATGGTTCTTTTCTTGTATGCTTGCCCTTTACTCACATTTTCAAGGTTCTTTCTTAAAACATAATTATCAAACTTATTTTATATTCTAGAATAATTCTAATGTAAGTCAACTGTCTCTTATGTTGACTTTTTCTTTTCTATTTCATAACCTCAATTTCTTCTGTGGTTTATGAGTTTGGGCCATGACCTCACATTTCTGAGAATGTTGCCTGTCGGAATTATTTGAGACGTGGGTTAAAAAGTAAGCCCAAGGAGAATTTGTATTTGCTGTTGCCAGGCTCCTAGCCCAGTTCTGTGGGGGCATTAACAACTTAGAACATTTTGTTTGAGGCTTTTTTGGACCATGTTGGCAGTATAAATCAAGAATGCATAATGATACTGCTGGGAATTTGACACCTGGTTGCAAATGCTCAAGGGAGATTTTTTTCCCTCTTCTCAGCTATGGAGTGCCAAGGTTTGTTCGGGCAGTTTTCCTAGCAGTCCAAGGGGAGTGTTGTTTCTATTCATGTTGATATTTAGGATCTCTGCTTTGTATGGTGCAGCCTCCTTTCAGATTTCCACCTTGGGCAGGCCTTGGGCTTTGTCTCCTTGTGACCTTCAATACTAGGAGGCCTTAGCAACTGAAGCCCAAGTTCATCCTATTTGGTAAACACCCTTAAGATGAAAGTTCACTTTGGTCTTCTTTTTATGTCAAAGCTTAGTTTTTGGCTTTTGAGCAGTATTTTTAAATTTTTTCACAGATGTTTTGACACATTTTAAAAGATTATCTTAATTTTCTTCTAGAATTTTTTATTGTCTTCACTTTGTCAGGCCAATAATCTACAATACTGCCTCTGCAAGTTGGTACTTACCCTGTCTATGTTGCAGTAATAATTAACCTCAAATCTGAGAGGCTTACCAGAGATTAAGTTTATTAAGTTTTTTTCTCGTTAATGGGAAATGTGGTTTGGGTAGCACCCTCCGTTTAATATCTTAGCCAACTGGAACACATTGCTACAGCAGGGGAGAAGATTGCTAGGAAGTCACTCTGCATGTCTTCCAAGGCCAGGCCTGGGCATGACCTGTGTCACCCTTTGGTGAGAATGCAAGTTATGCTATCCCAGTCCAGCTGCAAGGAAATCTAGGAAACGAAGCCTGTGGGCCCAGGAAGAGGAAACACTGTTACACAGAACACTGTCGCTCTGCAACTGCCAGAAACTGGAGTCTTCAAAGAAATTCTAGAATCATGACCCTACATAATTTATAGGGATATATAACATACAATGTGTTAGGTTTTAGTCATTTACTAAAGCAGAACCCACAGTTATCCAGGCATAATAATCATGTTAAATGTATCTGCATAGCTTACATCCCCAAACATAATGCCCTGTAAATTCTATTGTAATTTTGTGGTTTTTTTGCTTTTTTTTGAAATTAATTATATATACTTTATTTAACCCGATACATCCAATGTATTATTTCAACATATATTAATAATATAAAAATTATTAGTGAGATATTTTACATTCTCTTTGTGGGGTGCTAAATCTTCAAAATTCAATATGTATTATATACTTACAGCACATGTCAGTTTGGACTATCCACATTTTCAGTACTCAACAGCCACATACAGCTTATGGCTACCACACTGGACAGCTCAAAGATCTAGCCCTTGCCCACCTCTCTAACCCCACCTCATGATATTTTTCTCCTTCAATAACAAGGATTCAGACTCAGTGTCATTTTTTAGTTTCTTAGGCACATACAGCTGCTTTTCACCTCAAGGCCTTTGCACATGTTGTTCCTTGTGCCTAGAACAGTTCTCTGCACTCTTCACATAAGCAGCTTCTCAATTTTTCATGTAATCTTAAATGTCACGTGCCCAAAAAGGCCTTCACCAACCATCCTACACAAGGTTGGGTAACCCTTATCAGAATATCTTGTTATTTCTTCAGAGCACAGCCCGTGTAATTATTCATTCACTTGTTTTCTTGTCCGCCTCCCCCATCTCTAATTTTGGTTTCGTGTCATGGAAACAACCAGAACATCACCTTATCCTAAAGAAATAATTATTACATATAGTGCGGTGTAGAAAGTTCACATGACATCACACCCCTGTCCCTCAAATAAAGGATGACAGCAGGGTTCGGGCTTCCACCTGTGGGGTTAACAGTGCAGCCTTTCTCCCCTTTGCCTGTGTACTCCAGGGACATCTTATTTTCTAGAGACACAGCCTCGTGTCATTTTTTGTCATCTGCTTTTTTTTTTTTTAATCACTTTTAGTAAGAGAATAGCAAGATAATTAATAATTCAAATGCAAGGGTCAAAATGAGTATGGTTGGGAGTTTAAGGTCTAAGTGGATCTCCATAGTTTTTTTTAAAGAGTTTTAATTGTACACTTAAAACTATGATTAATACTAAATGCCATAATAAATTCTTGAACAGAAGCATTCTACATCCTAGAAATGAGACTTGCACCGTTGGGACTGAACTGGCTTTGTCAGGTGTTTTTCCATGTAACTGCGTGTTACATGTTACCTGTGCACTAGAGCAAGGGTCCTTAAACTTTTTAAACAGGGGCCAGTTCACCGTCCCTCAGACCACTGGAGGGCTGGACTATAGTTTAAAAAAAACTATGAACAAATTCCTATGCACACTGCACATATCTTATTTTGAAGTAAAAAAACAAACGGGCAAAAACACCCGCATGTGGCCCATGGGCCGTAGTTTGAGGACGCCTGCGCTAGAGTGTGCATATACATTAGGTACACTGCATTTCCTCTTTCATGGGGTTAATGGACTAAGGTGCAAAT